CATGTGGAGAACAACTACATTTTATTTTTTAGAACTATTTTTGTATATTAATTATTATTTTATAAGTTATAACATAATAGATGACGTTCTTTTTGTTGGCTCTCATATTTGACTTCTCAATTATCTATGTACATAAATCAAAGATAGTTATATGACTGTCCATAGTTAACTGAGAAATGTTTCTTTTTTATTTTAAACCGAAAAAAACTAAAAATTAAAATTAAAGAATATATTCTATCTGTGAAATCATATATATAATCACCTATTTATCTTATACCCAACAAAGATATAGTTCATATACTTGTAAACAATTTTCAATTTATTCAACCAAGCATGATTCGTCCAAGGGAAAATGACAACACCGTGTTATCACATATATAGGGGCGATATAATAATACGAAAAATTATTGGTCAAAAGTTAATATAAGGAAAGATGAAAAATAGAAATAATTAATGTAATAACTATGAGAATTCATAATATTATAACTAAAGAACGTACAAGAGTGTGAATAATATTGACAATAATTAGTAATAACTAAGAGAATTTATAATGTTATAACTAAAGAATTAATGTGCAATAGATGAATTTCTAATAAACTTTATAATTACATAAATAAATAGGACTTTTAATTAATGTTACTATTTTCTTTATAGTTATTAGATTTTAATTTAGTGTAGGGATAAAATGAAAATGTTTATTCCATATTACTGAATTTAAAAATTTATTTTGTTAATGATAAATTTTAAATGATTCATATATATTCACATATTTTCACATTTGTTGCGAGTTTAATTTTTTTTTAAAAAAAACTCACATTGCATTAATGAAAATATATATCTCATAAAAATTAGTTATTAAATAAATAATACAGATTAAACTAATACACACTTCAACAGACGTTATTAGAAATCATATGAACTTTTCTTCGTCGAAAATACTGAAATATTAAGAAATAGTAAATTATTAAAACAAAAGAGCAATGTTTACATAGTAATAACTATTTTAAAGAAAACTTCCTGAGAATCTCAATCATATAAGTAGCATTGATAAATAAAGTAATTCTTTTATCTTGAGCATCAAAAAAATAAATCGTGATAATTTTCTAACTCTTGAGAAGTTTAATAATTTTGGAACAAGATATTCAGAAACATATATCTATACCACAAGAGAAACTGTTAACAAAAATAAATGAATTTAGACTACAATAAAAATTAAACTAATACAAA